AACCCAGACATTCCTTTCTGTTAATCCCTGGTCTTTAGGTAAATTCAACCAATTGTCAAACACAATTTTTAAGTCCACCTATAAGCTGGAAGCCACTATCCTCGACCCCCGCGTTGAGTTGTCATGCCTTTCTGAACCAAACCAATATAGGTTTTAAATGTATTTGATTGATGCCTCATGCCTCCCTAAAACGTATAAAACCAAGGTGCACCCTAACCACCTTGGGAACATGTTCTCAGGACCTCTGTCCTGAGAGCTGTGTCACAGGCCATGGTTACTCATATTTGGCTCAGAATAAATCTCTTGAAATATTTTACAGTTTGACTCTTTTTGTCAACAACAGCAAGCCACCAGTACTCCTAGTGAGGGAAGGGTCGAGGGAACTTTTTATCAGCGAAATGGGAGAGGTTCACAGAAGCTGCTTAGAAAGAGTTCATTGGTTCCAGAGGCCCAACGCCAAAGCTCAAAGTTGTCCTCAGTTCATTGGTGGAGCTGCCATTACTGGGCAAATGTTTCTTCCGAGCATCTTATCTGAATTACTGTAGTCACAAAGATCGTCTAAATTTTATCAAAGTAGGAGACCCGCGAATGACACAAAAGGGTTTCTTGCGGGGTTTTTCGAAAGTCCTTGTAAATAGTTCTTATCTCACACACTAAGCCTGAGCCTCCTGTCCTTCCCAGCCCTGTCTGTCTGGGCCTGACAACGTGACTTCATTCCTTATTTGTAACTTTCACAAAACAAAGGCCCTGGTCTCATGAACTCACTGCACAAAGTGACCCTGGTTCGCTGGGAGCAGATAAGCGATGCTATCTGCCTGCCCTGGTCCAAACATCTCATCTGGAATACTGCAGGCCAGTGGAAATGCCCGGAATAAACTCTGCTTACAAGGTAATAGCGAGCCTCACTGGCATTTCAGAAATGCGTGACAGCTGCTTCCTTAGGGCCCTCCCCACTCCCTTTTGGTTACGTTGTGACATAAATTACTCCATTTTGAACTACAGGGTCATTCCTCAGCCCCCGCCAACCCCGCGGATCCCCCCTCAGCCCTGCTGTATCAGCCTTTCAGATCGTCCTTCAGCCTCTCAGGTCCCCCTCAGCCCGCTGTGTCCCTCTTCAGCCCCACCTTGAACTTTCCTCATCCCCAGAGATCCTCCCTCAGCCTCCCTTGATTCCCACCTCAGCGCCCAAGGATCCTCCCTCACTGCCCCCTGGGACCTCCCTCAGTTCTGCGGATCCCCCCTCAGCCTCTTGGGACCTCTCTCACCCCTTCTAGATCCTTCCTCAGCCCCGCAGATCCTTCCGCAGCTCCCCCTGGATCCTCCCTCAGGCCAGCTGGTGCTCACTCAGCCCCGCGCATCCTCCCTCCCTCAGCCCCCACCGGGGTCCTCCCGCAGCCCCACCTGGGTCCTCCCTCAGCCCAGCTGGTGCCCCTTCAGCCCCGCGGATCCTCCCTCAGTTCCCCTGCGTCCTCCCTCAGGACCCCTGGGTCCTCCCTCAGACCTCCGGGACCTCTCTCAACTCTCCTGGATCCTCCCTCAGCCCTGCGGATCCTCCTTCAGCTCCCCATCCCGGGTCCTCCCTCAGACCCGCGGGTCCCCCTCGACCCCGCTGGCCTGCCCTGGTCCTGCCGTAAGAACGGAGGTCACCTGGCCGACCCCGCCTCGCTCCTGGTACTGCCACAGCGCCCTGCAGGCCCCGCCTACCTAGGCTTCGTCCCGCCCACGAGATTACATCACACCGCGCCGGCCCCGCCCAACGGGGGGTATATCTTGGTGTCTCACCGCCCACTCTTGCCTCGCCCCGCCATGGAATACGTCCTACCGCGCGACGCAGCGCCTACCAGTGACGTTGTGGGCTGCAGCGCTGCAGCACCCAACGCAGTGAGTGTGCTGTGACCTCCTGCGTGGCCTCGTCCCTGGTCTTAGTTTCCACCGGGCAGTGGGAGTCAGGACCGCCTGTCCTCAGGCCCCTCCTCAGCGACTGTGGCGGCTGCAGGTTGGCGCCTCGTGTGGGCGGGGAGCAGAGGCGGGGGGCGCTGTACTCTCCCTGTGGAGTCCGGAGGGAGGGAGGCAGGGAAGGGGACTGGGGGCTGCACCTGTACTGGGCCCTTGTCCCCATGCGGTCTAGCAGGAAGGAAGAGGGAGCTTCCCCTGAAGACCCTGCTGGACCAGCCCCAGGCTCCTGTGCTCGTGAGGCCGAGGGAGCGGGATGTCGGCATAGGACACGGAGCAGGATTTCCATTTTAGAGGCAGCCGGACCTGTCTTCAGGTCCCTTCCTTGGTGACAGGGGTACGCCAGAGGAAGCTGGGCGCTCGGCCGCTGTGCAGCCTCGTCTCCTGGAATCTGAGTATTGGAAACTGGGCTTTCACCTCGGATAACTCAGCACAGACTCCCATGGGAATCCAGGTCACAGCAAAGCAGCCCTGGGCCTCCATTCTCCTTTAAGCAAGCATGACAATCCTCACCTGACTGGGTTTTTATTAAAACTAGCAATGACCTTAGAAAGCAAGGCATGACCTCAGCTCCACTTTTGAGGCTGCAGTCCATTTAGAGAGGTTTCCCAGACTCGGTAACGGCCAGAACAAACAGCCTGTGCCCTGCCGCAGACTGAGTCAGAATTTTTGGGAGTAGTGACCAACTTCTGCTTTTGGAAAAACCTCTACAGGCGGTTCTGAGAAGTCCAAGGGTTGCTGGGAGAGGTTGGTGAGTGGCGTGTTGATTACATGTGTCTTGGAAGCATCCTGGGCTGGGATTTGATGTGAACCCATTAGGTGGAAGAACCTTCCTTTTAAAAAAGATGTCTTCATTCTCTGCCTAGCAGGTTGCACGCCAGGGCCTGTACTTACCACCACCACGTGCCACGGGACTCTAAGGAGGAATGGCGGCCGTGGGCAGCCTGCTTGGGTAAGCATGGACTTTTAGGTCCCTGGGTATTACTGTCAGGGGCCACCCCAGGGAACTCCTCTATTCAGCAGGAAATGGCCATTCTAATCCTCCCTAGTCCCAGCTATTATCCACTGTCCCCTGTGCTGGAAGCTTTGTGCCCTTGCTCAGCCTGGCAGGCTCTTCCTGGCTAGGGGGCCAGAGCGGCTCTGACCACAGCCTGCGGCTCCTCAGGAAGCCCTGAGGCTCGTCCTGCTCCTGGCATGGGTCACCAGCTCTGGTAGTGTCTCCTGTTGCCTGGCAGTGCCCCATCACGGCCAGCCTCAGTCATGTTGGACCAGTGCTTACACGTTTATCTGCAGCCTGCTGAGGCAGAGCACCGTGAAGGCCACCGAACCTGCACTCCGCCACCTGCACACATCCTCCTGGCAGGCCGACAGCAGCAGGGCCTCACTCAGTCGTGTGCACCGCCAAGCTTATGCACGACTCTACCCTGTACTGCTGGTGAAGCAGGATGGCTCCACCATCCACATCCGCTACAGGGAGCCGCGGCGCATGCTGGCGGTAAGCTTCCCTCTCCAGGTGCTTCCAGGTGCTGGGCTGGGGTTCAGGCTGTGGTGGCGGTGCTGGTGGCCAGTTGCCTTAGGATGGACATGTGGCTGTGGTCACTGTACCACATGACAGGAGTCAGGGGAGCAGGTGGTTGTTGGAGGATTGGAGGAAGGCTTAGATCCAAAACTGACTCTTAAGCGCCAAAATTAGATAGGACTAACCAGTAGTGTGTTTTTATTTTTAAAATTTATTTTTTGAGACAGGGTCTTGCTCTGTCAACCAGGTTGGAGTGCAGAGGCATGATCTCAGCTCACTGCAGCCCTGACCCCCTGGACTCATGCGGTCCTCCCACCTCAGCCCTCCGAGTAGCTGGGACTGCAGGTGCACACCACCATGCCTCGCTAACTTTTTGAAATATTTTTTGTACAGATGGGGTTTCTCTGTTGCCCAGGCTAGTCTTGAACTCCTGGGCTCAAGTGATCCTCTCACCTCAGCCTCCCAAAGCACTGGGATTACAGGCATGAGTGAGCCACCATGCCTGGCCTTGTGTGTTTTTAAAAACATCAAATCTGGGGAAAACACAGAACAATTTATTTTGAAGATTGAAAGCTTTGAAGGGAGAGACCAATAAGAATGTTTGAAAATTAAGCTAGTATAGGATGGAAGACACAAGTTGACAGGAAGGCCCTGGGCTGTCCCCTCAGTAGTTCTCAAGGTCCCTCGATCCACATGGACAAAACTTGGTCTGTCCCCTGCAGATGCCCATAGATCTGGACACCTTGTCTCCTGAGGAACGCCGGGCCAGGCTGCGGAAGCGTGAGGCTCAGCTCCAGCCGAGGAAGGAGTACGAGCAAGAGCTCAGTGATGACTTTCATGTGGAGCACTACCAACAGTTCTGGAACAGGACCAAGAAGTGACCGTGGCTCCAGCCACCCCGGGACGTGGATAAGATGGGAGGGCTGTTCTTAAATCACATATTCTCGAAGCTGCCACCTGGAGTCTGTGTCTGTCCCCACACTTGGTGTGAGCCCCAGACTGGCAGCTCGTCCCCTGAAAGGCACGAGCTCAAGCACAGAGAGGGCTTAGTGGACTAGCAGGGTGAGGGTTGGTTTAGATCAAACCTGTGGGCTTTGGACACTGCTCTGGGGCTGTGGTGCCCACGAACAACTGTGTAGGCAGTACCCAATACCTCCAAGCTCTAAGCTGTGCCTTCCCAGCCTCAGAGGCACCAAGGCGACTGCCCTCCTGACAGCACAGTGGCCCTCAGGTTGGTTCCTAGGAGGGCCTGGGTGTTCTGGGACTCAGGCATCAACCTTGGTGGGGCAGCCCTAGGACCACAGCCTGCAGCTCCCTGCCCTGGCCCTGCATTCCCGGGCTGCCCCAGGGAAGGTCCTGCCCTGGGAGGGTCCCCATAGGAGCAGCCAGCCCTGGTTGTCCTTGACTGCTAATGGGGTCTGAAAAGCACAGCCCAGGGAGATCCACAGACCCTGCTCCATCTGTCCAGGGGCTGATTTCACTTAGGACCAGCTCCAGCTGATGTGCAGGCACCTTCACACACACATCAGCCCAGGTTTTGGACAGCTCAGGGCCCGGACTGCTTCCTGTCCCTGTCCTGGGGTGTTACTGGGTCCCAGCTGGCAGGCTGTCTCACTGACACCTGGAGTGCCCAACAAACACTTCTTGCAGTGGTGTTCTGGGATTGCCAGGCAGGTCAGAGTGTGCTGTCGTGCCCCTGTGATGACAGTGCTTGTAACTGAGGAGCCTGGGCAGTGTCCCCACCTCGCAGGCCCTTCCCTTGTCCCTTAAGTTTGTTCCTGGCCCTCTGCTCATCCTGCCGGCCTTCAGCTCTGCTGAGAAGAGCCTGCAAGGGATGTCCCCTGTCCCTGTGACCCAGCAGTGCCTGACCTCACATGGATGGGCTATGTGGCCGCCTGGGACTCTGCCTTGCAGGGTTACTTCCTGAGCAGCCTCCCTGGAGCCCCCGTCTCTGAAGTTGTGGCTCAATCCCTGTGGCATATAGAGCCAGCTGCCCGGCCACACTGTGCAGTCACTTGGCCCCCTCCTCCAGTGTACCCAGCCTCCTCCCTCTATAGTGGGTTCCCCTGGGAACTCCACTGCCCCTCTACTTACTCCCTCACCTCCACCCTCCTGGGTCCAGCTTTGCTGCTGTCACAGAGGACACCACTGTGATCAGTGCCCCCAGCTGGGACTCCACCCAGCAGGCACAGGCCACGCAACCTCCACCGCGGTGACCCCTCCTCCTGTGGCCTATGGCTTGTCAGGCTAATGGGCCCAAAACTGACCAGGTCTTCCCCAGAAACCTGGTCCTCTTGTTGACAGGTGGCTGCTTCATCCTCACAGTTGCCCAGACCAGAGCCTCAGAGCCATCCTGGACTTCTCCCCAACGTCCACCTGGCCCTGCTATCCCCTCTCCACCACACCTGATATCCAGTCAGTGGTCACACTCCACAGCCGGGCCCTGCCCACATGGCCGAAGTCCACCCTGGCCTGGCAAGCCGCAATTGCACCCAGGAGTTGATGCCCTACACCCAAGGAAGCCTTCCCAGGAGTGGGCCAGTCACCTTCTGTGTGCCAGGCTGTGGCCTGCTGCTCTGCCCTTGCCATGCACCTGCTCCATGATGCAAGCTCACACAGCACCTCATGAGGGAGATGGCAGCCAGTACTTGCTAAGTAGATAGATAAGCCAGATGGGCTGTCTGCTAGGCTGCTCTAACAGCCTGACCCATGGACTGGGTCACTAAGAAACAGAAATTTCCCACAGTTCTGGACACTAGACCTGTGTTTCATCCAGTTCAACCTGTGGCTGGAATTGCCCCAAAAGTGGTGGCAGTAGAGTTCCCACAAGGAAGTGCCCCACACCATGCTGAGATGGGGCTGGTTAGGATTCTACAGAAAGATTGAGCATGCCAGGGTAATGCGCCCAGAGCATTTATTAGCAGGGCTTTTGTACAGAGTGGGCTGCAGCAGTTCTTGCAACGGGTGGTGA